GGTGGCTTGCGAGTTTTAAATTCGTATTGGATTGCGCAAGATGCTTCATATAAATATTTTGAGGTAATCCTGATTGACACTCATCACAGTGCCATTCGACGTGATCCAAAAATTAATTGGATCTGCAAACATGTCCATAAGCATCGTGAATTGCGCGGTCTTACATCAGCCGGCAAGAGTTCCCGTGGTATTGGCAAGGGATATAGATACTCGCAGACTATTGGCGGATCTAGGCGAGCTGCCTGGAAGCGCAAGAACCGCGAGCACATGCACAGGAAGCGATAATGTGTAAAATCCTTTTAAAAGCCATTTGACAAAATTTGTGGCTAATAAACCTGCTAAATCTGCACACCAATAAACCAATTTGTATTTTATTTATATTTTATGTATACAGAATAGTAGTTAAAATGGACGATAAACTTGATTTATTTAATTACTTCACAAGTCATTATATACATAAGTATACTGTCAAACAATTACTGTACTGACCCAAAACTGTTCTCTACGAAATCTATCTAACTACATTTGTAACACTTTCGGCGACCTTATGGTCCATATAAGGTGGCAGTGCAGTTTCTATAGAACTTTTGCCGACATCTTTAGTAATTTTACCGTTAGGATACACCCTAATTAATTTTGTTTTCTTAATGGAATATTTTCTAATAAGATTAAAAATAAAGTTTAAATTAAAGATTTAACTGTACAAATATGTAGATGATGATTGTTGATGTTTTAAATGTTTATGTTCCGGTGATATTGTTCCAATTTACAAAAAGTTCTTTACCCTATGATTATTAAAGAGATTTATTTATAAAAGTAATATTTTACCCAAACAGTAGATAGTATTGCTTTCTCATTTTATACGTTTTTTTTTTGTTCAACCAACTGTTTTGTAGCCTTGTGACCGCTCTTTACGATAAATTGATCAATTTCTAAGCTCATTTAGCCCACTTTTTGCATTTCTTTTATTTGATCTACATTTATTTATACAAAGTCAAACTTTTCCGTTTTTCAAACCAAAAAAAATTGTATTTTGCCTAATTGGTTTGCCCCGTTAAAGTGCGTACATACATACATACATACGCATATACATATTTGATTTGATTTTATTTGCCTCCCTAACGATATAAGTTTAGAAAACTTATAAATTGATGCGCTAGTCCCAATGAGTTACCCTAAATTCGGTCATCAAGCTTAAACTTAAGGGGGGACATCTGAGTAACATTTTTTAAAAATCGAAAAATTTTTTTTTTGCTTAAAAAATTCTTTAGGGTCTTATAAAAATTTTCCATTCTGCGGCGATGCCTCTCATGTAAATATATACGATTTTAAAACTTTAAACGCGTTTTTCTCAAAACCACTTTTTTTGAGTTGGCCGGAAACATAACTCGAACAAATCTTAACTGATCGATCTGAAATTTAGACAGTATATTCCTGGCGATGAATGAGTGGACTGTATTATTTATTTTCTTAGTTTTGTAAGTTTTATTGATGATTTAGCGGGTTTACAAAATTATAAGCGGGTTGCGGGCGGTGAGCGGTTGCGTTACTGTACAAAGTTTTATAAGCGATTTTGCGTGCGGTTGCGGTCAAATATACAGAAGCAATAGAACTAGCGGCGAACAGCGTGCAGAAAGAACAAAAAATGCAAAGATCGCGTGATGCGCTAATACATAGACAAAAGCTGCATTTTCGGCTATGCGTGTGAGCTTTAAGCTTTCATAAAGTAAACAATACAGTGATGCGCAATTAACTAGGTGCAATTATATGAAATTAGGAACAAGTAAAGAAGTAATGAAAATGACCTATCTATTTCTCAACATACCGGCCCCCCTGAACGACTGTTCAGTTCAAAGGAAGCACAGCAATTTTCGTAATAGGTCGCTTGTAGGTTCCTCTAGCGGTTTTCACTGTGACGACACGGACCCTCTGATCCTGGCCAGGATGCACTTCTACGACTCGTCCCAACAACCACTTGCTTGGCGGTTGATTTGGCTCCTTCAGCACAACCAGGGTGTCCATGGCAATGTCCTGAGCTGCTTGTTGCCATTTCGTGCGAGCTTGAAGTGTGTTGAGATACTCTAAATTCCAGCGTTTCCAGAACCCTTGGACCTTGGCCTGCAATTGCCTCCATCGCTGCAGTCTGTTGATGTTTACATCCAGGAGAGATGGCTCTGGTACCGAAGTGAGAGGCTGACCTGTTAGAAAATGAGAAGGGGTTAGCGGATTAAGGCTGTGGTCGCTGGGTGCGCACAAAGGACGAGAATTCAGAAGTCCTTCAATCTGTATGAGCAGGGTCGAATATTCCTCGAATGTGAATGCGCTGCTGCCAACAACTCGTTTCAGGTGCAGTTTAATAGATCGCACACCAGTCTCCCAAATGCCTCCGAAATGGGGTGCAGAGGGCGGGATGAAGTGCCAATTAACTTCGTGAGTCGGCAAGAAACTCGAAATTTCTTCGTTTTGACTTTGGGAAATTGCAATCTGTTGCATTTCCGCTAACTCTTTTTTAGCTCCATGAAAAGTTGTGCCATTGTCTGAGTACAAGTCTGAGATGGGCCCACGGCGGGACCAAAAGCGTTGAAAAGCGGCAATAAATGCAGATGTTGTCAGATCACTGAACAGCTCAATGTGTATTGCCTTTGTAGATAGACAAACGAAGATAGCAAACCAAGCCTTTCCAAACTTTGGCGTCCGACCTGTAGATATTTTGATCGATACAGGTCCAGCATAATCCAAACCAGTGTGAAGAAAACAGCGGGCAGGTTGAACTCGAAACTCTGGTAAATCTGCCATCAGTTGAGAGGCCGTGTGTCTTCGCTGCAAGAAGCAAGTTCGGCAATTGAATACAGTTTTGCGGACGAGATTTCTAGCTCCTAGAATCCAATATCGTTGTCGTAAACTATGAAAGGTGTATTCGACACCAGCGTGTAGCAAGGCAGAGTGTTGATATAGAATTAAAGTAGCGGCGATTGGCGATTCCTTAGGCAGAATTATGGGATGTTTTGCGTCATAATTAGCCAGCGAATTGTCTATGCGACCACCAACACGCATTATTCCTTGCTCGTCTAAGAAGGGCGTGTAGCGGATTAGCTTGGACTTCTTTGATAATTGTTGTCCGGTGCTCAGCTGAATATATTCCATGCTAAAGAACTCTTTCTGAACGTGCGCGAATATCCTGGATCGTGCATATTGTAGCTCCCACGCTGCTAGGAACGGTTGGAGTGGAGTCCTTCCACGAAAACGATGGACGAAGCGAAAGCAGTAGCTGAGTATCCTCATTAAGCGAGACCATGAGGAGATTTTGTTGATCATACAGTTGAGCGAATTTCCGTCGTCGGAAATGTGTAGATTAACTTTGGGTTCGGCCTTTACCTCCAAGCATGCCTCTTCTTCTGTCGACAAAGCAAACTTAGCCTTAGCGGGTGGCCAAGCTGAACGTGACTGAGATAGCCAAGCGGGTCCATTCCACCAGATTTGATGATCGACGAGGTCCTTTGGTAATATACCTCGGGAAGCGCAATCTGCAGGATTGTCGTCACTTCGAATATGTTGCCAGCAGCTTCTTGGACAAACTTCTAAAATCTCAGCAGTGCGATTGCAAACATATGTGTTCCATGTCCGAGGAGGAGATGATAGCCAATGCAGAACTATTTCGGAGTCTGACCAACAATTGATTCTGGAAATAGGAATAGTTAATGATTGCTTGACCAGGGAAATCAGTTTAGAAAGCAAATGTGCTGCGTTTAACTCAAGTCGAGGAATGGATATGGGCTTAATAGGTGCGACTCGAGTTTTGGCCATTATCAAGTTGACTGCGTATCCAGCGTTGACTTTGAAACGACTATAGATGACGGCCGCATATGCCTGAGATGAAGCATCCGCAAATCCGTGCAGCTCAATTGCTTGACTTGGTGTTGAAATGTAGCGAGGAACTCGACAAGTTTCCAATAAATGCATTTCAGATACAAATTGTTGCCATCGGATACATAAATGGGGGTGTAATACCTCACTCCATTCGACAGAGCTGAGCCAACTATCTTGAAATAGAATCTTTAGAAAAACAGTGGTGGGCGCTCTGATAGCAAAGTGCGTTTCGTAAGAGCAGTTGTAATTCCAGGAGGTGACAGCTTGAAGAAGATGTAATCAGCTTTAGGTTCCCAACATACTCCCAGAACTTTAACAAATCGAAAAGGGCTGTCGTTCTCTAAAGGGTTTGGTGGATACTCACAAATCTCCTTTGGCAAAGACTTTAATAAGCCGCAACAGTTTGAACTCCACTTTCGAAGGTTGAAGTGAGCTTCACTCAGAAGCAGAATCAGCTCATCTTTGAGTGCGATGAGATCCTCAACTTTGTCGCATCCAGTAGGAATATCATCAACGTAAGCGTCTCTATTAAGAACGACAGCAGCGTTCGGATACATTTCGGCATAGTCGGTGGCGAGCTGCTTCAGGACTCGAACAGCTATAAACGGCGATGAAGCTAATCCATATGTGACTGTCAGCAATCGATAATGATCCAGCGTGGCGGTTTCCTCCTTTCTCCAAACGATTCGTTGATAATGCGTATGTTCGTCTGCTACCAAGATCCCTCTAAACATCTTCTCGATATCAGCGCAAAAGACGTAACGATGCTGACGGAAGCGAAGGCATACTCCAAGCAGATCCCGTTGAATAGGTGGGCCTATGTGCAGTCGGGAGTTAAGCGAATGACCCTTGGAGTCCTTTCCTGAGCCATCAAATACGACTCGGCAACGTGTGGTAGTGCTATCTGGCTTAAACACTGCGTGGTGTGCCAAATAATTATAGCGTGCTGGATCCTCACCAGCGGTGGCTGCAGGTATCAATTCCATGTGTCCTCTTCTCAGGTAATCCTCCATGAAATCAACATATTGTTGTTTGAGTGCGGGGAATTTTCGAAATTTCCTTTCTAATGCGGCGAAGCGATTTAAAGCTTGTGGCAACGTAGATCCAATTGGCATGATGGGCTCCTTAAATGGTTACTGAACAATGTAGACACCATCTTCTGTACGAGCATGCGTTTTAAGAATATGTTGTTCTGCAGGATCACTAGCATCAATAGTCGCTTTGGTCGGATGCACTTGTTCCATATCCATGAATGATCGGACCAAGGAGTCCAAGTCTTCGTACGCGTGGTGAACTTGGGCTTGCGTAGATGCTTCGTTGCAATCAGAATAACTGCCTGTAATTACCCAACCCAAATTAGTATGTAGTGCGATGGGGTATTCGATACCAAACTCTCGGCGATGTCCAGTGTATATGTTCCACAGCTGATCAGCGCCTAAGATTACGTCGATTTTTCCCGGAGCTCCAAACGTCGGGTCAGCTAGCGGTAAGCGGCGAATCTTGTTCCATATAGAAGAGCTGGACTTGACCTGCTGAGCTGGAAGCAGAGAAGTCAGAGAACTCATAATTAAACCGGTGACCTCCACTGATGCAGTAGTGGTCCTTGAAAGCAGGGTGAAGGTAGCGCGACCTCGGCTCACGCCTGCCGGGCTAGCACCTAAACCAACTACCGAAATGCGAGCATGCGAGCGAGAAATTCCGATCCTTTGGATAAAGGACTCGGATACCATGGTTATTGTTGATCCAGTATCGAGCAACAACCTACATGAGGTGGTGTTGCCACATGCGTCAATAACATTGGCCAGAATGGTTGGCAGTAGGGCTTGATTGTTAGCCCTCTCCACAGTATGATGGCTGATAGCGGCAGTATTCATGTCAGCAGCATGATCAAAGGAAGAAGTTGCATTTAATTCAGCGGCAGACATCTGGGCGGAAGCCGAAGGAATTGATCTTGACTCCTCCGGATGTACTAGAGTATGATGTCTCGCGTTGCACTGACGGCAAGTGTTTAAAGAATTACAAGCCGACACTTGATGCGACCTACTTAGGCAATTGAAGCATAACTTAGTATCCCTGACAAAGGTGCGGCGGCTTCCGACATCCAAGGCTTTGAATTCAGTACATGAATATATATTGTGCTGTCCTTGACAATATATACACTCGCGGGGCGGTTGATTTGATCCACTTGCATGATAGGTGACTTGGCGGCGTCTACTCTGGGCTGGTCTTGACGGCTGCAATGCGTGTAAATCCTGACAAGACTCCAAAGTATCACAATGAGCGAAGAGAAAAGTGAATAAATCATATATGGTGACGTCTTCCTTGGACGACATACTACAATTGGCCCAAGCTTGCTTGACTTCAGAACCTAACTTTGATAGCAGAATATGAATTAGCCATACATCGCGGCTGTCACAGTTAAGCGCGTGTAGGCCTCGTATACATTCGTCGGCAGAATCCACAATTTTGCGTAACTCAGCGATATTCAAATTATTAGCGGTTGGCAGCGACAGAAAATTCTGCACAAAAGATCGAGCAATAAGCGATTTTTTATTATAACGATTTTCCAATTTTTCCCATACATCTTGGTAATTATCGTTACAAACGGCGATATGTTTAATTAACGACAGAGCTTCACCATCCAGATAAGATTTCAGGTAATGGAATTTTTGGCACTTAGAAAGCTTCTCGTTGTTATTCACTGAGCTCAAAAACAAATCACTAAACTGGCTCCAGTCTTCATATTTACCAGAAAAGGTGGGAATCCGAATTTTCTCGAACCTTAAATCAGTTGCACTCGAAGAGGTATGGATTTGTTCCAAAAGCTGATTCTGTCCCTCAAATAGACGTTCCACTGTACTTGAGATCAAAAGGTTAGACTGGTCTTGGCCGTAATCTTGACCTCCCATTCTTTTATAGCGTGGGCACTGTAGAACTTCTCTTCGTATTCCGGTATATCCAAACCAGGGTCCTCGTACCCATCCTACAGGTTGAATTCCACTAAGTCATCGGAGAGCTCCATGAAGTGGTTGAAAGTGGCAACCAAACGCTCCAGTTTATGTTGCAATGTCTGCACACAATCACATCTCTGTGCAAAGTCCGTGGCGCTGTTCAGGGTGCGCGTTAGTTGCCCCTTACAGGCACCACGTTGTTGAATTGTCCGATGCATTATCGAATTCATGGCGAAAATTTGTCTCTTTGTATGCGCGAAGAAAACTCACAAATAAACGCGGGTATCCGGCTACTCGAACGGACCAAAATTTGTATGGCGATGAATGAGTGGACTGTATTATTTATTTTCTTAGTTTTGTAAGTTTTATTGATGATTTAGCGGGTTTACAAAATTATAAGCGGGTTGCGGGCGGTGAGCGGTTGCGTTACTGTACAAAGTTTTATAAGCGATTTTGCGTGCGGTTGCGGTCAAATATACAGAAGCAATAGAACTAGCGGCGAACAGCGTGCAGAAAGAACAAAAAATGCAAAGATCGCGTGATGCGCTAATACATAGACAAAAGCTGCATTTTCGGCTATGCGTGTGAGCTTTAAGCTTTCATAAAGTAAACAATACAGTGATGCGCAATTAACTAGGTGCAATTATATGAAATTAGGAACAAGTAAAGAAGTAATGAAAATGACCTATCTATTTCTCAACAATTCCAAATACCTATGGCTATCGACACACGTAGGATTTTTTTTTTTTTTTGCTTACTTTTTTTTTATCAACAATTTTGTGACGTTTTTTTTCCATGAAAATTGAACATTTTATTTAATCACTCACCATTTTGCTAAAAATCAAAATATCGAAAAAATCCTACGTGTGTCGATAGCGGTTGAGATACAGAAACTAACAAAATTTAATTTGTTGTTCTAGATTAAAAATTACGGACGTTAGGTTTCCGGCCATGGACCCCTTTCAAAAAAATAGGGCCTATGAAGAAATGCTGCACAGCCGCCATTTTGTTTTCGATTAATTAAAAAAAAAACTTATTTTGTAGTTCACATCTAACATTATAAAACCTACTTTAAAATTTTTCGATTTGCTTTTTCATTTGGCCAAAAAAAAATTCTTGAAAATCGGCTTTTTTTTTGCCAGTTACTCAGATGTCCCCCCTTAAACAAAATTTGTGCATAAGATATTCCTAATCAATTTAAATTTTATTATTTGTATATTTATGTAATTAATTTAACTTAGTCCTAATCCTAAGTCGCTGTAATTTAATTTAATTTATGGGGCTATTTTAAATTGTGAGAGTAGTTTTTCTTTAAATTGCGTAGCATTGCTAATATTTTTAATGTTGTTGGGTAGCCGATTCCATCATCTAATAGCATTAATGAAAAATTGTCCTTCGGATGTCAGCGATCTGGGCCTTATACAAATAAGATTGTTTGGTCTTCTAGACGAAGTATATGTTAATTTTTCAAATAGGTATGCTGGTTCTTTCTTATATATTAATTTGTGAAGAAATGTCAATATTATCATCTTTATCCATCCACTAAGTTCTACGTCCAAAATTTTATAGGCATAACCCGATCTTGCGATGCTTTTATAGTCTATCTTTATTTTATTTTGGCTGATCGAATCACAATTTCAATCACAACTTCTAATCCATAAAATAAACACTGAACTAAACATCTTTTTGCTACTAACATACGCACATTTATAGGCAGACATTCCTTAGTCTCAAACTAATACTCTCAGCATTCCAAATATTTTTATACCCTTGCAGGGTATTATAATTTCAGTCAGAAGTTTGCAACGCAGTAAAGGAGACGTTTCCGACCCTATAAAGTATATATATTCTTGATCAGCATCAACAGTCGAGTCGATCTAGCCATGTCCGTCTGTCCGTCTGTCTGTCTGTCCGTCTGTCTGTCCGTCTGTTTCTACGCAAACTAGTCCCTCAGTTTTAAAGCTATCTGAATGAAACTTTGCATATAGTCTTCTATGTACTCTCACTGCTATATATGTCGGAACGAGCCGGATCGGACGACTATATCATATAGCTGCCATACAAATGTTCGATGAATTTTTAGAAAAAAAATTATAACTTTGCTGTTTTTAAAATTTTTGTACCATTATATATGGCCTATTTATATTATTTCTGAATTTTGGTAAAAATTTTATGAAAATCGGACGACTATATCTTATAGCTGCCATAGGAACGATCCGGAAATTAATAGGAAACAAATTATAACTTCGTTGTTTTTCAACGTATTTTCATCTACTCTGAGATATAAGCTTATTTTATTATTCTAGAATTTTGGTATAAATTTATAAATATAAATGAAAATCGGACAACTATATCATATAGCTGCCATTGGAGCGATCGGTAGATGTAGAGAAAATGTAGAGGTGTGAATGTAAAACTGTAACTGTCAAACTGTAAACATAATATGTAAGTATAGGTAAAATGTAATGAAATAATATCTGCAAGGGTATACAAACTTCGGCGTGCCGAAGTTAGCTTCCTTTCTTGTTCCTATTGCCTTTGAAATGTGATCGTTCCATGTAAGAGCCCTTTTGAATGTAAATCCAAGATTTGCGGCTTTTTCGACATACTCTAATGGACTGTTATTAATATGAAGAGGTTCGATATTGTCTATCTTGATTTTCCTTCTGCTTATTATTATTAGCACTTTGATTTGTTTGGGTTAATGTATAGTCCCATTCATTTACTCGCACAAATTCACGGATACATTCAGTTATTCTGTTTAAAGGACGACTCACATACATTTAGACATGAACATTACAAGCCGACAACACAGATGGAAGGTCATTAGCATCCAGTGTAAACACGGGAATAGTAGCTTCTTTTAGCAATGTCAATGAGCTTAGTCACAGATTATCTCAACAAAATAAATTTTCTATATTCATGTGATGTCCTATACCTCTTCCACTTTTTGTAAGCTTTGTTGCGTTCATTGATTGCAGTCCGAATGCCATTATGAAACCATGGTTTCTCCAGTGCACGGATTATTTTACTACGAACCGGAACGCAGCTGTTATACAAGTTACATATATTATCCTGAAAGTACTTTACTTGATCGTCGACTTCTGTGAGTAAATATAGTCCATCCCAATTACAGCAGTTAAATGCTACATTTTAATGCTCATAATTTATATTTCTAAAGTCCATAAAAACTATGGTATTGTCATGATATAGGTCAATTGCGTATGTCAGAAATGTTTCATGTTTCGAAAAAGCCAATTAGCTGGTCATATAAAACATCTCTGTCAGTATTAGGTCACAAAGAACACATCTAGTAATGAGCTGCGAGTGTTGCAAAAATGCGTAGGGGAAGAACTTTTCACTACATTTAAGCCAAGCGAATCCATATTATTTGTAAGATGCGATTCTCTTAATAAATCACTGTGATTAGGAGAGGGGGTGGCCAGTAAATCCTCCGCAAAAGAATCAGAAGAAAAATTCGTCCCACGAAAAAGAAACCAGAAAAATTCGGGGGTCGAAATTGACATCGGCGGAGTGCCCGTAGCATACATATATTTTCGCATTCGATTTGGTACTAATCTTAGCTTAGCGTAAGGGCCCGCTGCCGACCGAGAAGCGCCGCTTAACAGCGCGAGAGCGGAAGAGCTGTAATTGGAGCGGAGTAGCCGTCTCTAAGCTCGACTATCCGCGAGCGACGATCGGGAACACCGAGGAGCGGAGAGCGGGCGAGCGTTGCCCAGCTGGGAGCGCTTGAGCTTTTGGAAGCTCGGTGGACAGAGGGGGAACAGGGGCCTCCTGGCGTGAACACACTGTTTATGTCTCCTGAAAGAATAACATCTGCATACTTTGTGGATAAATCAGCTAGGATACATAAAATATTATCGTAGTTGGTCCGACAGTTAGGCCGATAGGCGCATCCAATCAGCATTTTTGCAGTCCGTTGCTTATATTTAATTTCTACAAATATTCCACAA